GGCGGATTAATACATCCAATAAATAAATAAATATTCTGGGTTTAGCCAGGCTTGTTTTCAGTCTCTAGCCCCCTAACCCCTTCTGAGGTTTATCAGACTCTCCCTTAGTAATCTGGTTTCAGAGAGTCGTTATCTTCATAATTCCACGTCATGTTTCCTGTATAGCAAATCCTCATTACTCAATACACACACACACACACAAAACCTCTATTGGCATGAAAGCACAAAACGTCATGGAAATACGTTACTTAGTATGTTCAGGTTTGCTGCCGACGCATACATTTTAACCGTCGTCAAGGCAGGTGGGGTGGGATTTACGGGAGAAATGGGCCGGATTGCTGAGCAGCTCTGGGTTCCGTAACCTGGGCTGAAAGATCACGGCTTGCGTTTGCGCAGCTTCTAGGTCCGCTGACCATTTTCCTTTCGGACCCACAGGGAAATATGACGATCTGAGCTCCTCGGATGAATCCTACCCCTCCCCGCAGAGACAGCGGCCTGCCCGCAAGTCCAAGGGTCCCAGTATCCACGAAGGGCCCCACGCTCTGGCCAAGATAACGGCAGTCCGGATCGGAGGAAGGAGCCAGTCGCATTATGGTGAGTTGCGGCTCCATTTCCCGTCCCTCTTGGCTCCGGGGTAACACGCTGGAAACACTCCTACAGTCTTTAGCATTGCCCTCAGGCTGTGCAACAGTTTCACTGCTAAAGGCCAGTAAGGAAACTGGAAATGCTCATAAGAACATAAGAACATAAGAGATGCCAATGTTGGATCAGGCCAAAGGCCCATCCAGTCCAACACTCTGTGTCACACAGTGGCCAGAAATACCAGGTGCCATCAGGAGGTTCACCAGTGGGGCCAGGACATTAGAAGCCCTCTCCCACTGTTGACCCCCCCCCCAAGCACCAAGATGACAGAGCATCACTTGCCCCAGAGCCCCTATCTATACCTTGTGGCTAAGAGCCACCGATGGACCTCTGCTCCAGATGCTTATCTAATTCCCTCTTGAAGCCGTCCATGCTTGTAGCCGCCACCACTTCCTGTGGCAGTGAATTCCAAGTGTTAATCACTCTTTGGGTGAAGAAGTACTTCCTTTTATCCGTTCTAACCCGACCGCTCAGCAGTTTCATGGAGTGCCCACGAGTTCTTGTATTGTGAGAAAGGGAGAAAACTACCTCTTTCTCTACCTGCTCTTTCCCATGCATAATCTTATAAACCTCAATCATGTCACCCCTAAGTCGTCGTTTCTCCATCTGAATGACGTTCTAACGAATCAGACCCAGGTGAGAACTTCATTAAGCTTTGTGTACCTGACCAACTGCGTGAAGGAACGCTGTTCAGAAATCTTTTAGAAGGTGATTCTTTCGCTTCAAGAATGTTAACCTTGGGAGTCTACTGAAGAATCGGCCGCCTCTTTGACAAAGCCCCGGTGAAATGGGAACATTTGACAGCTGGCGAGCCCACAAGAGGGTATGCTACAGTGACCGGTTTCTTCTGGGATACCGGACCTTCAGTGAAAGTGTTACATAGCCTTAAAAGGGTTCCCTTGCTCGAAAGCCAGTCGAATCCGACTCCAGGGGGTGGCGCTCCTCTCCGTTTCCAAGCCGAAGAGCCAGCGCTGTCCGAAGACGTTTCCGTGATCGTGTGGCCGGCATGACTAAACAACTGCCGAACTGCCAACCTTGTGGTCTGCAATTCAGCGTCTCTGAGCCACCATGACGGTGTTAAAGACACTATGAGTGTTTCCAGTTTCCCAGTTTACATTTGGTTTTAGTGTCCCTTGAGGCTCCAATCTTTTGTATACGTTGGCAAGATTTTCTGTATGCTGTGTAAGATTCTCTTACTTCTGTGTGATGAAGAATAACAAAAACAGGCACAGATATAATTATTTGCTTGGTCTTTATTTTGGCTATATACAGTCCGCTTGTTATTGGCTCTTCATTCCGCTGTAGATCCCACCTCGTTTGGTATTTCTCAGCAAGTCGAGCCGTTGTCCGGCACCCCCGCTCTCCGACAAGGAGGGCCAGACGGTGTATGACTAAAATGGATCCCGGCATTCCGTTCATTCGTTCAACTCCCTTTTCTCCTCCCCATCTCCATTTTCCACACAGAGCAGGTCCCTCCGGAAGGCTACGTGACCTTCAGTGACGAGGGAAGCGGCACCGAAGGGGGAGACCTCCGGTACAGAGACGTCACCTCCCCCATCAACGAGCGTGACGTGGAAAGCAGCAGCAGCCGAGGTACAGCCCCCCCGGGGGGGGGGGTGTGGGAGGGAAGGGGAACACCAAACCAGCCTGCTGCTCCAGATTATCTGAATTTCCCTCCCGGGCTTTCAGACCCGGTGTCAGAACCCACAGCCAACAACGTAGTACACTCTTTTCTAGAAAGGTAATACTTTATTGAAGAGCCATAGATGCGTTAACATAAGCACTATTAAGAATGGCGGTTGCCCATTGAACCTAATAGGATATAGGGTATTCATATGCACCACCTCCCACTGCATTGGCCAATTGGTAACCCTCCCACGTGGGGGAGACGCTAGCCAACCGTTTGATAGCTGAAGCTGGGAACTAGCTCGCTCTCACGGCGCCTTGGATAACATAGGCACCACAATCCCACCTGCGTATCGTTATGGATAAGCGTTTCCCTAGAAGCACAGGAAGGAATGCAAAAGCAATTAAAACAGACACTGACCGACCATCCCAACCCCCATGGCAGCATAGCTGACACCCGGAGACATTCCAGGATGTCTCAGAATCCATTCTCTACCTCCTCTTTCCCATGCATAATCTTATAAACCTCCCATGCATAATCTTATAAACCCCAATTCTGTCTCTCCAGAAGAGTATTCCTCCTTCACCAAGAACTTGGCCACCATCCGGATGACTACCACCACCACCAGCAGCAGCAGCGAAAGCCTGTCCAGAGCGGTTGGGATCGGCAGCGAGGGCTCCGTGGAGAGCAACGAGGTGGGCGGCTAACGTCGCTATTAAAAAGGAAAAGGGGGCTCAGTGGTCCGAGCGTGTGCATTTCTGGACACAGATTTAACTGCAGGCAACTAGAAAAGAGCACG